TGGCCATAATTGTGGGGGCGGGGCCCTACTTGATTTCCTAGCTGAGCCTGAGGAGCCACTGAGCAGAGTCCTCTCCTCAGGCACCAGGAAGTGGACCAACTTTAGTGGAAAGAACAGCTCTTGTTACTTTGGTCAATAAATTCAAAGAGTCAGTCGTGGAAAGACCCATTTCCATTAAGGATCAGTAGAAGGGGCTCCTGACGCCTCCTTGGTGGCACAAGGGGTTAAGTGTCAGCATATGGGGCTGTCAGCAGCCTCTGCAACAGGAGTCCAATCCCCTCCCAAGGAGCTGACCCACATGGCACAGCAGCCCTCTCCTGACCTGCCTGCTGCTCCACTCAGCAGTGCATTTCAGTCAATCTGCCTGTTCTGCTCCACTCTGTCTCAGCTGAATCCTCTTGCCCAGCCTCCCAGAACCTCTGGCCTAGACCCCAGCTCTTATATGCCAAAATAAAATTTATCTTTTTTTTTTAAAAAAGGGCTCCTTATAGAAGAGCGCATGAATGTTCATTTCATCCCAGAGATGAAAGGTAAAGTTGCAAAGTGGGTGAGGTAGGCAAGGGCCTTGTGAAGGCTGCTACTCAAGCCAGGGTGGCTCTCAGGCAGCCTTCAGAGGTCCCCAGGGGCTGCATGACTGCAATACTTTCATATTATGGATCCTGTTTTAGAAAATGAATTGCAGAACACAGGATAAAACAAGTGGAAATCAGATATTCAATTGCCATTGATCCTCTACAGTGAAAACTGTGGCTCAAAAAAGTTCTATGGAAAGACAGCTATATTTCCCCAAATGAAAAATCCAAAATGAAAGTGGAAGCTAAAAGGTAGTAATTTGAGCTTTTACAAATATATTAGGTCTAGTTTTCATAAGAAAGCATGCATAAGTGAGTTCTGGCACTAATTTTTTTTTTTTTTTTAAGTAAAGAGAAAGTACTTCTTCATTAATTGAAAGTAGTCCCTGAAAATACATCTATGATCTTGGTAAAGGGAACATAATATTCCAATTAGCTACATTTCCAAATGAAATCTTTTAAACGGTAATCACTTTTAACTTTTAAAGAGCACCATCCTTTCCCACAGAATGCAAAATCACTCTCCTCTGGAGTGATGTGATCACAGCTCTGATGTAAACACTGGGCGAGAAATATAGGGAGGGCTGTGAAGTAACAATAAACACAAAATTATTAGCTTCACTATGTGGAGATAGTTTCAGGTTCTTTTGTTAATGCTCCAAAAGATCTCCGTAATATAATAAAATGTACTCACAGACTCACAGGTATATTTTCTAAAACATTATATTGTTTTCTTAACAAAGAAGCTTAATAAATAACATAAACAAACATGGAACTTAACATCAAAGCAAAGGACTAGAGAGAGAAACTCCAATTTTCTACCGGGTACAAGTTGTAGCGAATTCAGGGAAGAACAACTTTCATAAAGAAAAGATTATTCATACCCAGTGTTCCTTAATTTCCAAGCTGCTGAATTTAAAAAAAACACAGTTGTCGATTTTCAGTGACAATTTTCACATGACAACTCAAGGAAAAATGATACCTACATTCTAAGTGCACGTACAAGGCTTGAATCTGAGCTCATGATTTTGAGTTAAGGAAAAAAAAAAAAAAATATATATATATATATATATATATTTATATATATATACTATATATATATACTTTTTTTTTAATATATATATACTAGTAAATTCCATTATTACTTCTAACATTGTATTTGAAACTATTTAAGTTTCTACACTTTCTGCTGCCTAACTATACTCTGTAGATAATGCAGTGGGAGTTAAGTAGGGTAAACTAAAGGCATTCCATTTAACAAACTGGGTTCTTTAACACAAACTGACATATTTCCGTACATATTTATAAGGCTTGCTGGTTATTATCAAGCTGTAATTGCAGTTGTTCTAACACCTAATAAGCTATGGTTGGAAAAACAAAGGCAGGTTAATTTGTGATTTCCTCTACTCATTCAGAGGCAAATTAAGTGTCAAACAGCTAATACAGAACATATTTCATTTTATGAGATTTTAATTTAATTCTGCACCATATCATTGATGCCTTAATATGGGGTGGTTTATCTAAAAAGAAGAGCAATTTATAAACCTCTTTTCAATAGACTCTTTAATGATAGCCTATGATAGCATAATTATCACAGCGTCTGCCATCCTTCTAAACAGAGATCTGCTGGCATTTCTTTCCATCATCAATACGGACTCTGTTTGCAAGAGATTTATAATTTAATTTTTAAAGTTGGCACAAGAAGAATAATTATGTGTACAAAAGAATGAGAATGTTCCCAAATTTTGTCTTCTTATAATTAAACATATTTATTCTAAAAGTCTAGCATGCTCACTTGATCTCATTTTCTCTGAGACAATTAAATAACAAGCACTTTGGAAGTCAAGTTCTAGATAAAATCACTTTACTTTTCTAGGTTACCACTTTACCCTTCAGCAAAAGATATACTTTTCATATTTCAGAAACTAGGCCACATTCACCTGACTTGTCCTCCAGTCCAAGATCACTGGCATCTACTTATAGCACCTCAGAAGGTACAGAAGCAACCCAGGCAGTCAAGGCCAAGTCAGGCCAGAAAAGAAACCAAGGATCCTGCATGCCCCAGGTGGCCGGCAGTGCTGACTCAGCACCTGTTCAGCTGCTGTGCTTTAGTGATGTCACTGAACATTTCACTGAACGCTTTCTACAGTTTGAGAGAGAGGCAGTATTGCAGCTTACTTCATTCCCATGGAAAGAAAACAGGACAGAAAAATGGAAGGAGAGGAGTGGTTATGGGAGGCCCTGGACAGTTGAAAATTTGCATATAAGTTTTCACTCTCCCCAAACTTAATTGCAGTTGTCACTCTGGATCACTGGGAGACTGATCTCAGGACCCTTTTTCCTTTCTTGAACATCAGTCCCTTTCCTTAAACACACAGTGCTATCACGACAGTCAGTCTCTGAGACAGTCAGCCACAGGGACACGTGAATTAGATCCAAAAGTGAGTCATTGGAGCTGGAGTTTATCCTGCAAAAAAGGAAGGCAGCTGAGCCTTACATTACACCCAGCCTTATATAGCGGGTCTTTGAAAACTATATGTTTAGGCAGATAGAAGATAAATAAGTCAATTACTGCTACAGTATCCTAACGTATGGGTGAAAAAAGCAGGAAGCACTATAATCTATAGAAGCTCCAGCTCAGCTATCTGAAATGCAACCTCCTCCTCTCCCAGGATTGTCCAAACTTGATGGGGCTTACCTTGAGGTGCTTGGATCACTGAACCATTACTCTGAGTACAAAGATCAGAATCTAGGCTACATAATGTGGCTATGTGAATGCTTTCTATTGTTACATTCTACCACAGACTTGGGGTTTTTATTGATAATGTCATCTTTTAATGTAATTAAAAGGCAAACTATAATGAACCCAGAGGAACTAGTTCAGTCTATCATATAAATTTCAGTTTCTCAAATGTCTCTATAACAGCATTTTTGAAAGAATGAAGAGTGAAGAATTTGGAGGTTCCATAGAAATCTGATTTACATTGCTACATCACTGCAGAAATGGAACCTGGAAGGAATCAGTCATGAGGCTCCAAGGCTGAACAGGTCCAGGCTGTCTCCAAATCACAGGGCAGAGCCCCCACTGAGGGCCCCGGGGTCCCATTGTGCTGCAAACCTCTGTAAAATGGGGTGAACTATATGGCAGGTTTCAGCCTAAATTTGGAGTTTTGAAACTTTCCCCTTATATGGGGTTGGGGGTCTAATTGGCCTTAAAAGTCTTAGTGAGTGTATTTTTAGCAGGCTTTAGAATCCTGTAAATACTTATGTTCTAGGGAAAAGCTGAAGAGCAAGTCACAAGTTTCTGTATTCTCTTTCTATAAATACCCACTTCTCCTTTAATGCTTATAGAAGTCTGCAACACAGATTTATTACTTACCTCCAGGCAAATCTGCTCTGAAATTACAATTCAGTAATGGGAGATGGATCCAAAAAACTGTTGGTAAAATATTATATGTGTACTTGGGCATGTAGTTAGGGTTGTTAATATCAATTAATTCTGTTCACAGAGGAGGACTTGTTATAAAACAACTTCATTTTTCTTTGGCATATATATAATTACACAGCTGTAACTAATAGCCATGGAGATGCAATCTACCATCTAAATAACCAGCATTATTCTTCAAAGTATTATTTGTGCTTTTCTAACTTTACTGTCTCAGAATGAAGGGTGATTACCAGATATGACTAAATGCATCTATCAAATAGACAGTGAAGGACAGCCCCTCCAGAGAGGAACTTGAGTTATTGTAGTACAGACAATTTTCTGGACGACACTATGAAGAATATCATTTTAAATTTGCAAGTCCACTATTCTTTTTTGCTTCAAATGGAGTAACACACTGTTTCTTTCCAGGAGACATTCTCCTTCCCTTTCCAATGTATGTTATCACCACCATTTTTTCCTTTTATCTTTGAGTAAACCATGTGTTTGATCACATTTGCCATTTTGTTGGGTGACATTCCCATCCATCAAGTGAATGTTGGTGTTTGCACCAGGGGGGCTATGAAAATTTACCATAAAAATTTCATTATGATCCATTGTGAGCCTTGGGACAAGATTTTCACCTAACAAAAATTTTAGCATGAGAAACTTCACACTTTAATTGCAATCAAAGACATATTCTGAGAAGTCCCCTTCCATTAGGCCTCTACTTTTGAACTTAATAGTTACAGTCCACAGAATACATGTCAGCAAAAATATAGGGAAAACTTGGCAGCCACCTGAGGGAACAAGCATTCTTCAGGAGGCAGCAGGCCTGCTTCAGTGTGTCCAGAACAGATAGGCCTGCCGGATTTCAAAAGTAAATCTTAAACGTCTGTCATATCTTCAAAGGCCAACAGCTGTGTTGTTAACAAAAAAGTCCTGAGATTGTAAAAGCCAGTATTTTGTTCTGCTTCCTTAGCAGCTAAAGTTGTAATACTCACACATGCAAGGGTGGAATCGGAGACGGATCATAATGGTAACGCCCCTCATGGTGTCGCGATTCGATTGGCACAGGAGGATGAAATGCAGGAAAAAGATGAGGCGGGTCTGAAAAAAGAAAGAAAGTCCACCCTGTAAAAAAGAAACACTCTGAAACAGAACTCCAGTGTCTGAAGCAACTCCTCTAGATGGCTTCCATGACATGCTGGTTTCCTCAGATCTCTTAATCCCTTATGAATTTCTGGAAAAACTGCTCAGGGTCCATCATGATGCTAAGGGAGACACTGCAGCTGCAAGACCAAGTAAATAATACCTGCACCTGAGAAAGGAGAATCTACGAATGCAAGGGGATCCCAGGGAGGAAAGAATCAGTACATGGCTCGCTCGAGGAGAGAGACCAGTAGGTGTAGACGGACTGAGCATGCCACAGAAAACAAGAGAAGCAGATCTTAAGATTATTATTTTTATTATTTTGAAGTGAATTTTAGACAGATATAACAGTTTCATTTCTCTCATGCCTTGATGCTTTGTAAGGGAAGTAGTCCTTTCTCAAGTTCCTCTTAGAATTCACAGCATTTCTACCACCTCTTCTTTTTTTTTTTAAGATTTATTTATTTATGCATACAGAACTGGGGTATAGGCCAGAGATGCAGGGGGTGACAGGATTCACCAGAGACACAGTGGGGAACAGAACAGGCTGAATGACAGAATATACTGCTGAGGGGAGCAGTGGGAAGGTCAGGAGAGGTCTGCCTCTCCATGCAGATCACCTCCGGGGCCGGGGATGGAACTGGCACTGACGTGGCTGCCGCTCACTTGCAGGGCTGCGTCCTAACCCATTGTGCCACCGGAGAGGGCTCTCTACCACCTCTTCTTTAAGTACTCGTTTTCCTCCTTCTTGTTTTGGATTAGACTCCACAGCCCCAGCACAGGGTCACAAGACCTGGCTGGAAGGGTGAAGCTGAGCTCCCTGGGAGGGAAGTTTGGAGCAAACTGAGAGGGGCCTGTCTTTAAGTCTGACATCCACCTTGGATCGGAACCTGCTGCCCTTCATGTTTTACTGAGTTTAATGTTCAACCTGGGCTCCTGTGTGTGTGTGTGTGTGTGTGCACTTTTTTAAAATAGATTCTCTTCCTCCACCTACTTGTGGCGACTTCCAGGGATGGCCTCTGTCAATCCTAAAAATAAACCTTTTTTTTCCTACATAGTGATACTGAAAAGAGTTTTGCCTATTTTATTATCAGAAGAATGGTTGCTATTTTGTAACAGGCACTAAGTTGTATTAAAGTTTCAAAGAAGCAAAATAAGTAAGTACAAAATAGGGCCCTCCCTGGTGACAGAGTGGGTTGGAGTGCTGCAGTGGGAAGCCAAGCCAAGCCATGGCACTTCAATGGAGTTCTATACCACCCTGGAGGTGACCCACATGGTTCGGCAGACCTTTCCTGTCTCATCCACTGCTCCCCTCCACAGTGTACTTGGTCGTTATGCCTGCTCTGCTCCCCACTCGGTTTCTGGTGAATCCTCTCACCACCTCTGGTCTGTCTCTCTTTTTGTATGCATAAATAAAATTTAAAAAAAAAATGTTAAAAAAAAAGTCCAAAATACAAAATGCAGAGGTATGCATGCTCCTGTGCTGGGAGACTGACATTACAGAAGACCTGGCAAACTCAGTCTTCAAATCTAATCTTATTTTCTCCTTCCACCTGTGGCCATTTTGGCATGCAGCCATCAAACTACTATTTCCAAAGACGCCTAGGAAATTATCTATACACCAGGCCAGCTTTAAAAGGACTTCCACCTATTTCCAAAATTCAGAAAATTCTGGGTTGACCTAAGGGCTGCATAACAATATAGGCAATACCAAATGCGAAGATGCTGTCCACAGGCACTAAGTCACTGCTGAGAGAAGTGACCCAGAAGCTCTATGTGCAGAAGGTGGGGTGGTGGCTATGCCAACCACAGCCTTGGGTATGAGTGGCACCCCTTCACTAAAAAATTTCCTTAACTTAGTTCCTGTAGATGACTAGTATGTGTGTGTGTGGTAAATGTGTGTGTGTGGTTTTCACTGTTCTCCCTTAATATTTCTCAGTTTTTCCAAATTTTCTTCAATGAATGGTTTAGAATGAAAACATAAAACTTTTTAAGGAAAAATTTCAATACCTTCCTTCTTTTGCTTTGAATTTTGCCTTGCTATTTTCCTTTGAGAATCAGTTATGAAAAAAATAAATAAATAAAAATCCATTAACATAGTATCAATAGAATCAAAGCTTCAACTCCAACCTAACTTAGAACCCAGAAAACGTCTTTGATTGAAGGAGGACTAGCATATTGAAAATATCAATTACTCTCTGTGCTTATATTTGTAAGATAAAGGGAGGGAGGTGTGGGATGTATAAAGAAAGGAACCCCTTGGAATTACCACATTTTTGTTGCTGTGATGTCAGGATGCACAAAAAAAATGCTGGAAATTCAATATTTGAAGGGTATACCTGATCATTTAATCACATTTCATATATCTTATAACTAATCTTATTTTCTCCATGTGTATACACATACGAATTATAACAAGGCATAAAGCCAAGTTTTTTATATATACAGGGATGAAGTGGATGAATCTATTTTAAGCGCACTATTTAAGAGCTGATATTAAGATGTCTGAGTCAGTTCTTCTGGATTCAAATCTTGACAGTTGCATGAAAATTCTGAAATTTTATCCAGCACTGTCTTCAAACTCAGTGTACCACATAACTCAGTAACCCTGCAGAGCCAAAATGACCTATTTCTTTCAACCAGTTTCAACAAAAATTATTCTTCTTTCCCAAGTCAACATAAAATTGTATAGTCCGCTTCACTAGCTTGAAAGTTTGATATATACCCAGTGAATGGTTCTTGATTTTAAATTTTGAAGTATGTCCAAATGAATCCCACTTGGTCCAGGTCAGGTGGACGGCCCTTGACCTGGAGAAGGTACGTCACCTCCTTCTTCCTCTTCTCCTTCCTTAGGGGTTGCTGCTGCTGAGAACACACTTCCTTTCTGCAGATGTCAAACTTAACATATGTCATCTACTCTGGGAATCAGAGAAACAAATCTATTTAGAACTATGTGTAAATTAAACATTCGTCAAATCTGACCCCCTTCTAACAGCTTTTCCCACAGGTCATTTTTTATGGCTGGTTTGAGCAATATGCAACACCTGTGTCAAGCTGGAAAGTATGTTTACTTGTTCTTGGCTCTTCATGTGATCAGATTCTCTGCACATGACAAGTGGGTGCTAAATAATCTAATGTGCTCTATGTGTGTACAAATATGAATCATAACAAGACATGCAACCATATTTTCATATACTCATGGATGAAATGTATAACTTTATTATACATGCTATATATGCCTTACATATCCAGGATGTAACAGTTACTATATTTAATGAGTATTAATAATGAAGGTGCACTGAATATATACACCAGGATGAAGATCAAACAATTCATTTTTTTTAAGATTTATTTATTTATTCATATAGAACTGGGGTACAGGCTAGAGATGCAGAGGGTGAGAGGATTCACCAGAGACAGAGCGGGGAGCAGAACAGGCAAATCGACAAAGTACACTGCTGAGGGGAGCAGCGGGCGGGTCAGGAGAGGTCTGCCACGCCATGTGGATCTCTTCTGGGGCCGGCGGGGATCAAACTCATGCGGAATTGGCTTTAGCTTCTTAGTGCTGTGCTTTAACCCTCTGCGCCACCAGGGAGGGCCCCAAACAATTCATTTTTAAAAATCAAAAAAGTATACATAAATCTGTTTCCCAAGGAAAAAAACACAAGACAACTACAGATATCTTACAGGCATTTCCTTCAAGAAATTATTTCCTTCAAGAATAGAATATTAATTCACTTCTCTCTCTCCTTTCAGAATGGAAGAAAAAAATTCAAAACATTGCAAAAATATTTGAGTGAAAATATAAAGTGCAATTATTGGGGTGTTTATTAGTCCTTTCTGGCTGTTGAGTATGTACTGTTTCATGAGTAAAAGTTAATGCTGACTGAAAGTATGTGACTCCTCCTGTAACATTCTTTGCACAAAGTGTTTATTTATGGTCCAAGAAAATATATGAATTCTGGATTCTGTAATTATATTAAATAAAGAACAAAAAATTAATGGATATGACCTGACTTGACTGAAGACATCTGGTTTTAGTTTAAGTCTTTCACTGTTACTATTTGTTTCCCTCTTGATTTCTCTGGGACTGATGAGATCTGTGCAAACAATTGTACATTGTGTCAGTTATCAGTGGAAATCATACCTCTTCAGCCACTTTCTGGGAAAATGCAATGGAACACCCCTCTTCCAATTCAAGACATGCTTGACCATGATTTAACAGTGTAAATGAAGAAGAAAATGAGTGTGAACTTAATGGAGTACAGTGTGATGCTGATTTATAAAGAGGCACACCTAAAACTCGTGTTATAGTGCAATAGCACTCCAATGAAAAAAAAATTATTCAGCACAGTGTCTCTGGACATAAATAACATTAGCCCTAACACATTTCTAAAACCAAGGAAGAAAAAAAAAAAAATCCCTCATTCTCAAACTATGAGAGCTTTCCTTGCATCTGACTTGTGGTTTCTAGATGGAAGGTCAGCAACATAGTTGGTCACCGGCCCAGGGAACTGCCAGGAGAACCCTCCTGACATGAAGAGTCCAAGTCGCCATAGCTACCATCATCACCCACCTTGCAGATTATTTACCCGTGAGCAGTGCAGGCATGGCGAATCATAACTCAAATTTATGTGTAATAGTTCCGGCGCCGCGGCCATCTCCTGTTCTGGCCCTTGACAAAACACCACATGATGACTTTCCTAAGTCAGGCAAAAACTGCTGAAGCAGAAGGAAGTGCCACTAGACCTGGCTACCTCCTATTTATCATACAATTTCCTGACTGATGGTTCCACAAACCAGCTGCTAAGTGCTGTGTACTCTACTGTCAGCAAACTAACTGGCTAAATGGAAGACAGGGAGAAAAGTGTGTGGAACTGGTGGAATCAATTTTACTGAGGGAATTAAAATTCTACCAGGTAGGGGTGAGCCTAAGGAGCAGTGGTAAGCAGTCAACT